AAGAAAAGGGTCAGGGGAAAGGTTGTTTTTTTTTTTTGCTCAAAAGGTTGCCTGCCCCTTTAAGGCTGGCCATTTTGAATTCTGTTCTCCACAGCACACCGGTGTGCTGCGGAACACAGTTTATGAAACACTGTCCTAACCTCAAACAAATTCTTTCCAGTAACCATGCAATACATCTCCATCATACTCATCCAGGAATACAACCCTGCAATCAACTCCAGTGTCAACTTTGTCCACAACATCTATACAAGTGATATAATCACAGGACATAACCAGATAAACCACTACATTAGAGGCTCATTTAACTGCATATCCACTAATGTGATCTATTCCATCAAAGGCCAGCAATGCCCCTCTGCCATGTACATTGGCCAAACTAGACAGTCTCTTACGAGAAAGAATTAATGGACACAAATCAGATATCCAAAAAGACAACACACAGAAACCTGTTGGGGAACATTTTAACTTGCCTGGGCTCTCATTAATAGATCTCAAAGTCACCGTATTGTTTCAGTCCAATTTCACAAGCCAACACCATGAGGAAGCCTTAGAACCTAATTTCATTTACAAGTTTGATTCCTATAACAGAAGTATGAACAAAGACATTGGCCCACTGGATAGCCCACTACGTTCACATCCTAATGATATAAAAAAAAATCCAAACAATGGGTACTTAAGAACAGTTAGTACCTTCTCTATCAGCTTCATATAGCATAGACACGCTAAACTGACTATTTCTTCCCCCCTTTTTTTTTCTTTTCCTTCTTTATCCTTCTCCCCCTTCTCCCCCTCATCTCCTATTTATTTCAAAACTGGGCCTTTAATAACTCCATTCATCTGAAGAAGTGGGTTGTGCTCACAAAAGCTCATGATACCATCTACATGTTTTGTTAATCTCTAAGGTGCTGCAAGACTATTCATTGTTTAAGTTTTCCCAGTTACAGACTAACTCAGCTACCCCTCTGAAGCTCTTTTACCATAATTAAATAAGGCTCTGTATGACACCAAAACACACGTGCCTCAGCTTCACATAACTGAGTGAAGAACTTATTGCTTACCATTTCAGAAACTCCATGGAACCTGACCAGGATCAGAGGTTTAGCAAATCAGCCTTTTTAATTCCATTTTTATTTAGGGTTTCATTTTATTTAGGATTTCATTTTCTAGTTGCTCCCACCAGTTATTTCGGGTTAGCTATCTGTGCAGTGCTGCTTGGATTGGTGGGAATCCTCCTGTGACATTACGTTATACCTCATGTTCTTCACAGTAACATTATGATATGAGTAGCATAATTATGATATGTTTTATGCAAGATGGGAAATTTGAGAGATCACAGGAAGGGTTATGATTTACTGAATATGATTAGTGTATTTGTATGCATCTGTAATTTTTTTGTCTGAAGTAACGATTAACTATGTATCAAGTACAAGTGTGGTTACACCTGGGGCACATCCACCGCACAGAATGCAATGAGTGGCTTACTGTGAGGAGAGAACAATATGTCTCAGAAAATGTTTTTCCCCTAAAGTGAAGTATTCCTGGAGATGCTGCAAACAGCCTTTGAGTTATGGCTGCAGGGTAATGTGATCAAGTCACCTAATACTAGACTCTATGATAAAATTACAGAACTTTTCCACAGACTCTGTAAACAGAATTTAGGACTTGTCTACAGAAAAATAGTTTGCAGAAAATTTGGGTGTGAGCATGCATTGGTTAAACCTGAACTAACCTCAGCCTTTTTTTACAACATGGACAAAGCCTTCACACTGATAATCTATGGAACACTATAATACCAAATACAAACCATATCATACCACTATATAAATCCATGGTACGCCTACATCTTGAACAGTGTGCATTTCTAGTTCTCCATCCCCCTCAAAAATATATATAAGAAATGGAAAAAAATACAGAGAAGACTAACAGCTTTAGTCCAACCGAGGTAGGCTCCCCTCCAGGCTTTAACTCAAGTTGTTAAATGTGTTAATGTGTTTTCCCTGCTATTTTAAATTGGGTTGGCTCATCCAAGTTAAGACTATAACTTGTTTCTCATGGAAGATATTCTTAGCATCATGAGTAGAAGACCAGGAATTTGTTGTTCAGGTGAGTGGATGGAGGGAGCTTGTTAAAAACTGTTCCTGTCTGAACATGCTCAACATATTTAAAGGGGCAGTGCACTTCTTTGTTACCCACACACAAAGCCCTCTTGCTCACTCACACACACTCACACTCACATTCCAAAACAACACATACTTGTGCTGTTGTTACTTCTTTCAAGATGTGCTTTTTGAGATGGGTTGATGTGTTTGCAGGTGTACACATACCCCTATCTAAGAACCACTGGTACAACCTACTTGTTTTCAGATCTCCTTACATACTAACTGCTCTTTGAGGCCTCCTACTTACTGTGTAAGGGATGTCAGGGTGTCCCTCCTCCCCCATTCCTGTACCCTATCTCCACACAGAAAGAAGGGGATGGAGGGAGCTTGGTAATACAAATCTCTGTCACTCTCACACATTGTATATATGTCTGTCATTCTCACAAACGTGCACTGTCCTTCACTCTCATTTTCTGATACATACGTGGGTGGTGGTTGTTACTATTACTGCTTGCAAAGTGTGTTGTTTTTGGTTTTTGATTGGTCTGTGGATTTCATAATTTTCATTTCTCTCTTATGTGTATATTTAATTCTATATTTAGTTCTAAAATGCCTAACCTGTTGTGGCTGGAGTAATTATTCCTATGGTAATTGCTGCCTAGAAGTGGTGAG